CTGAAAGTGAGCTAACCATCATGAAATGTTTTTGTGCTTTGTTTTGTTTTGTTTTGCTCATTCCTTGTGGAGAAAGCAGTGACCTGGAGAAAAATGTGAAATTATATTGACAGTGATTGTACTTTGGAAAGTTTTTCTTTAAAAGTAGTTCTGTGATGTCTATTTTGTTTCATTACTTTCCGTGCCAAATTTTCTCACGCAGCACACAGAATGAAAATGGGAGGGAGGTATTTGAAACAATGACCTTTAAAACTAATAGCATCTTTAAATGTGTCATATGTGGTTTCTGTAGAATGTGAGCAAGCCAACACTGTGTAGATAAAACCTTAATGATCTGTGATTCATTACAATTCAGAGAACAGCGCAAAAGGTGAATTTGAGAAAAAGTTAGCACTTTGATGTGATGGAAAGTTCCTCAGAGGGATTACTTTTCAAATAAGTTTAAGAATGCTCCATTAGATTTCTCAAAGATGACAGGAAGCTATGTCAAGGTAACGAGGTCCCCTAAATGAGAGCAATAGCAAAGGGAAAAAAAAAAAAAAAAAAGCCTACCGCATGCTTTGAAGCTGCGTTAGTATTCAAAAGCCACTAGAAAACCGTTAAATATAAATGAAAGAGAGAAGTGCTGGGATAAGGTCCCACGCTGAACACAGGCACTCTGAAAAGAGTGTTGAAACTGCCCCTGTAGCTTTTCAAGTGAGAGATAACTTGGAGAAACCCTAAGTGACAACTAGAATGAGAGACTGATATTTTATAAATTTGATTTTTTTTTGTTTTTGTTTATATGCCTTTTATTTGAAGCAAGAGCTTAATCTCCTTTCCTTGCTAGAAGAAATCTGTTGTTTTCATCTTCAAGCTTGTGAACTCAGGTGAATTTTTATACATAAGAGATGCTTTTACTTTGCCATAAGCAATGAATTCAAATAAAGCAGTACTGCAGGCAAAATTCTCAGGTTGCCAGCAGACTGAAGCACACATCAGTGCATGCAAAAGTAGAGGATCAGCAGCCCTTGGGGCTCCATCTGCAAGTTTGGGAGTCAGCTCAAGAGCCAGGATGTAGGGTAATATACAGCGTGCTTTGGCCAGAGGCAGCTGATGGGCCTTCCTTAACTTGTCGAAATCTCACATTGGTGCAGGGCTGTCTTTTGAATTATAATCTTATTAGACTCCCATTGAGAGGAAAGTATAATTCAGTCTTTCTGACTCATCCATCACCATAGTAGAAAAGGTGCTTTTAGAGTGAATATAATTGCTGACGTTTACGTATTTTTATTCTCAGAAAGAGTATTTCAGTTAATCTGAATAACTTCTTGCCTATGGAAGATTTTACACATAGAATCGAGTATAATATACAATACATAAGCCAGAAAATGCACTGTAATGAGACAGTTATCTACATTGGTGAGGGAAATTAAAAAAAAAAAAAAAAATCAGGAGCTGTAATGTAATCAGTAAGCAGTACATTAGCCTTCTGCACCAGCTTTATGTCATTAGTTTCAAAATTAGCATATCAATAACAGAAGAAAAAGATTACGTTAAAAGGGACTACCCCATCAGCAGTTTTAGGAAACAGAAACTGCATTAAGGTCAAACATAAAGTCTTTAAAGCAAATAAACGGAAAAAGTCACAACAGACATTGTGGTGAACATACTGGTGAAGAAGAACATTTACTAGCTTATAAAGTGATAATCTGAAAATACAAGATTATTTTAAATGTTTATGTAACCAAAATTCTGAGTGGACAGGCTAACTTACAGCTTTCACTATGAACCGCCTTCTTGTATGGCCATAACTACTTTAGGATAAAAAAAGGCACTAATATCTTTTAGAGGATATAGCAGAAATCTTTCAACTATTACTTATAATTAATTTCCAAACTGAAATTTTATCTACACCTACTTAAAAAACATTACCAACCTAACAATATTTTGTGATAGCAACACAGAACTTCAAGGGAAGAATAAATTATCAGATAATAAAATCTCTGCAGTTTTTAAGCCTGCCAACAGATTTTAAATACTCAAGAATATCAGCAAGCCTTACAATACAATTGTGCTTTGTGTCATATCTGAATTACATCAGAATTAAAAGAATTCGTTTTCTTGTGGATTTGTGTAAGGATGTTGTTTATGTTTTTTTTAGGGTTTTTGCCGTTGTTGTTTTTTATGAAGTTCTGCTTTATCACGTTGGTAGAAAGCTGCCATTTCATGCTCTAGTAGGCAGAACCATATGCCATAGATAAACCAGAGTCTTGAGAACATTCTTAGAATCTGATATATTGTACTACTTTATTTCTAACAAAGAGTAAGACAGCTTACAGGTTTCCCTGATGCTAGTGATGTCATTTAGGCACTTCCAGAAAAAGACAAAAAAATCCTGAACTCTGAAAAGCATGGCGTGCCTTAAATTGAATTTCTGGACATTTTTTTTCAGGATATTCAACTAATGCAAACAAAAACATGAGGGAGCTGGGATTGTTTAGTCTGGAAAACAGAAGGCTCAAGGGAGACCTCATTGCACTCTACAACTTCCTGAGGGGAGGTTGTGATGAGGAGGGGTTTGGCTACTCTCAGACAACAAAATGGACTCAAGGAAATGGCCACAAGTTGTACCAGAGGAGTTTTAGAGTAGACATAAGGAAAAACTTTTTCTCTCAGAGAGTGGTCAGGCACTGGAATGGCTTGCCCAAGAAGGTGATGAAGTCACCATCCCTGGCAGTGTTCAAGAGGCATCTGGATGAGGAGCTACGAGATATGGTTTAGTTGCTTGTAGTAGCAGTGGTAGTGGGTAGACAGTTGGGCTAGATGATCTTGTAGGTCATTTCCAACCTTGTGATTCTATGATTCTACAGTTCTATGTAAACACATCTGAGAAGGTCTGGCATTTAAACCCTCACAAAATCCTGTATTTTGTTGTTTTATACTGTGGTCTAGAAAAATAACTAGCTCTGGCAAGACACAGTGTGTCAGAGTAGCACCATGTTATGCTCTGAGGGAAGGTGCTACCAAAGAACAAATATTAATATGCTGAATATAGTCTCTTCTGTGTGGATTCCGTGTGAGTGTCTGACAGCTTTTTTAAACACCAATCTGTGTTTCTGTGGTTAGATTCCCTTTTCTAAGTTGGCATTTATTCACATTCTTACTGTTCTGAATAGGCTTAGCTGGAAATCTTACGTAAATCTGTGTTTGGATGAATCTGTGAGTAATTAGATTACAATCCAGAAAGGCCGTGTCCAAAAAGAGCTTTAGTCTACTTACCTGAATCACATCTGTGAGGTAACGTTCGAAAACATTGGGGATCATGTGCAAACAATTGGGAGTGACATTGTGCCAGACTTGGCCAAAACATTAGTGAAAACTGAGTCAAGAAAATGATAAACTTCTTCAGAATAAATAAATAAATAAATAAACCCAAAATGAAAAGTTTACACCAAAGTTGGACTTGCCATAAAAATTGCTTGCACAATGCAAGCTTAGGAGGTAAAACTGAGTATATTCTTTGGTTTTAAGGCATTCAAAAACTAGGAGGTGCAGCAGGATCTCAGAAGTATCTGAGCACTGATGGAATTGGTTCTGTAATGCCAACCTTCAAAACTTCTAATTGTGTCACAGAGTGAAGAAGTTGTTTACATTCAATGTGTGATCCCCAGAACTCATTTTACAGCTTGGTGCTCCGCAGGCACCAACACTTCTTAAGCCTTGCTATAAGTAAGGCGGTTTGCTAGGGCTGTGTTTAGCATGCAGTGAGCAGTCTTTGAAGAAGCCAAAAGAACCCAGGTTTGCTTGCTCCTAAATGACGGCTTTAATTACCGGTCTTTTCCCAGCAGCTCCTCCCTCCTTTTCTGCCTTAGTAGAATGCAGGCGTCGGATCACAGCTGCTGGGAGCCCGGCAATGCGCCCCGGGGTTTGGTTACAAACACTCAGAGGTGATACATGAGGAGGAAGATACTATGCCCACTGAGAGCATGAAAGCACTTCCCCGTCTCACTTGTAATAAGGCTGGCTTCAACAGCGCGGCAGTAATTCGCAGATGTGGGCGAGTTGCTACAAGTGGGGGGATTAGACGTGGTAGTTAAAACTTAATAATTTTATTTTAGTTTTTAATCAAGCTATCACTCACCGGCAATGCCACCAGCGCTAAGGCAACGAGGCTGCATCGCTCTCGGGGCCAGCCGGGAGCCCCGTGTCTGCTGGCTGGGCCTTAGAAACGGGCGGCCCACCCCACGGCCCACGCGCGGAGGGGCGCTCCCCACCCGCACCCAGGTGCGGCCGCCTCCGGAGGGAGGGCAGGGCGGGCGGCGGCGAGCTCCGCGCCGCGGGCGCGGCTTGCCCGGGAGCAGCGCGGGGGTGGGGTGCGGTGTGCAGGCAGTTGGAAGGAAGGAGCGAGCAGAGAGAGAAAAGAAAGGTGAAGAGGCCTGAAACGCAGCTCTTTTTTCCCCTTGTGTTCTTGGCCACCGAGGTAAACCGGTCTCCGCGGGCGCGGAACTCTCGGGACCAGGGCTGCGCGGTACCCGGTGCGAGGGTGGCCTGCTCGCTGTGCGGGCGGCTCCGGGCCGGGCTGGGCGCTGCGAGCGCGGAGCTCCTGGGCCGGGCGCTGTGCGGCTGCCGGTGTCCTGGCCTCGGCGCCCCCTCCGCACCGCTGCGTGTAAGCGGGCAGCTTGGGGCGAAGCGCCGTGCTGCAGGACGGGGAACCGCTCGGAAAGTCGGGCTTTGGCAGAAGAGAATTGGGAGGCAGCTAGGAAGCACTTTGCTTCCTTTTTGCTTTTCAGCTTGGTTATGTTAACGGTCTGTAAATGGCATACCGAGGAACTGTGCTTTATTTACTCTGCGAGTAGTTTTCGGGAAGTTAGACGCGAACTTCTCGGTAGCTGCCCACGTATTCCTGGGAATTCTCCCGAAAAGTGAATGAAACTCACTTTGCAGAAAGCCGGAGGGGCGCTCGGATGCCCTCCCTGTTACAGGGAAGGCACGGAGTGAACAACAGCGCCGGGTGCTGCCGCAGCAACTCGCCCCAGTGCTCCCGGCCGGTTCCACCTTCATCTGGTTATTCACTTCCTCGCTCCGGAGACGCTTCTTCACGCTGTCTGCAAGCTGTCCCACTGGAATTTCTTGCAGAGCAAGGTTTGACTCCAAACTAGCAAAATTGCTGAACTTTTCTCTGAAAGTTATTCTGCAATTAAAAAAAGAATAAACAACAACGAAAAACAACAAGAAGGAAACATGTTGACAGAGGATATACTTAAAATATTTTCTAATCAAGCACTGTGTTGAGTTGCACTTGATATCTTCATTGCTTTTGGGAAAAAATCACTTCTAGTTGCATGACTGCCATGGGTTTCATTGGTATGTATTGATCCAAAGGTCTAATGCCTTTAGAATGTTCACTCACAAGAATTTTTCTGAGCATTCAGACAACATGCTGATTGCGTTGTGTTGGTTTTTGGAAAGATCTGTAATGATCTACGACCTTCTAAGCCCGCTGATCTTATCCGCTTGTATATAGCTATGTACAATGGGAAGATGAAATTCGCTGGCAGATTTGTCTGTCCTTGGTAAGTCCTAGGGTAGTTGTTTAATTCTTTCCCCCTCTTCATTTGGAACTTATCTAGTATGTGGCTCAGCAGAAGTTGGGAGCAAGCCTGAACTTGCTTGCGTTTGTTGAACTTATCACTGAAAGTGAGGTTGGCTTGCCATGTGCTTCTGAAAATTTCTTAAGGCTAATATCAGTACTATTCTTAAAAGAAAAGCGAGTCTCTTTTGAGTATGGACTAATGAGAAAGAATTTTTCTATATTCAGCTATTTCTTTTTGTTCACACGTTTAATTAAAAGCTGGTTTGCTTGCTTGCTTCAGCTTAGATTCATTTGTCATGGCACATTTTCCAGTCAGTGTCATACTGAAAGTTTTTCCAATTCAAAATTCATGGAGTGATGGCTGTATCAGTTGGTACAGGTTTTGAGACTATTAGACGCAGGAACATATCCTCCATGTGAGGAAGAGTCCTGAAAGTGATGCATTGCTTTTCTGTGCCAGTATTGTCCTGTATTCTTTGGGGCAATGTAGTTATTGATTTCTTTTGAAAAAAATAGCTGCTCTGCCACTCTGAGTTCTTCTGCCTCATTGTTGCAGCTCCTTCCAAAAGAGTGAGAGAAGAAGGATCTTAAAATCATTTTGAAGACGGTGTGAGAAACATCATCTCTGCAATAAAGTTGAATAATACCCTCTAAGACTTAGGATGTACAGAACAAATTGCAATTAGTCACAAGCCAAGAGTAAATTTGCTTGGAAGAGAAGACCAGATGGATCTCCTTGTATCACTTTTTTTATTTTTTAGATAGCTATGGAGGGGAAAATTTTTTTTGTTTACTTATTTTTGTAAAACTGATTAGTTGAGTGTCTTCCAAGCAGCTTTATTTTGTATTCCCACTCTAGCAGTCTCCCCGTTTGTATAAATTCATCAAATGGTTTTTATCTAGGTTACTCTATACTGGAGGATATGAGAGTGTATTATGAACCAATTTTATTTAGGCAAGACCAAATCCTCCTCTCCATCTTCCCTGTTTTTTTTTTTTGTTTGTTTGTTTGTTTTTGATACTTATTTCTGCCAAAGACAGTGGGACAATCTATTCTACATTGCTTCTGAGAGTGAAAGTATGGATGCAGCCTATAAACTAAACTTAGATACTACTGTTTACTTAAATTTCCCTCATGATACAGATATTGATGTGAAAGTAAGTATATAAATGTGTATATATTGCTACATCTTCATATACAATGTTGTGCAACCTTTTTTAAAGTTTGTTATGCCTTATTCTGCACTTCAAGTTATGGAGGAGAATGCATTCTTTTTCACTGATACTCATTACTTGGAAACAGTGTACTATTTTGGATGAGGTGTTCCTTGAGTTCCATTTTTCTGTATGCTTTTTGAGGCTAAAACATTGCAACGTGAGAAATGATTTTACTATTTATCCTCTGGCCTGTGATATAAACACTCACCTGTTTGTAGATTTGTTAGTTACTTAAAGCATCATCTGAGAGCAGTTATACCAAAATAAACATAACCCCCCCGCCCCCGTGCACTAACACATGGCAGTGAACTTGCTACCTAATGAGCTGTATAGGTAGGCCAGATTTGTACAATTTCTTTAAAAGGCCTTCAGCTGGAGATGACTGCTGAAACAAAGAATGGCCTTGGCTTCGGCTCCTAGCATTGTTGGCATTTTGTGGTCAAGAATATCTCTGCAGCAAGCAAGTTCTTCCTTTCTCAGTCTGCTGTGCACTATGTTGCAAAATGTGCAGCAAAAAGAAATGATGTTCTGCAAATTTGGAAGCAGAGTTTGTTCTACAGTAGATAATCCATTGTGTTGTGGTTTGTAGAGAGATGGATCCAAGTAACTGATAATATGAAGTTGTTTGAGTTGCTGAAGTAACAGAACCGGAGGTGTTTCAGCATAAGGTGTGGGCAGAGCTACTGCATGTAGAAAACAAAGTACTTAGATACAGAAAAGTGTAAGTAAATAAAAGCTGCTTACCTAAGTGACTTTTTGTCATTGCTGAAGGTGAAAAGATTGAAAGAATGATACTGAGTGAAAATCAATGCTAACACCTCAGGGATAAAGACCCTAAACACATCACAAAACCAAGAAAGATGGAAACTGCTGACATAACCAATTTCAACATCAATTTTGAAATACTTAGATTGAAATGCTAACACTGGAGTGGTTTTTTTTTTTTTTTTTATATGTATACTTGAGTACATGTACTTTTTTTTTTTTCTTAATGAGTACATGAAGCACTGAGACACAAACAATTCCTGCCTGACTTTTTTTGCTTGCATTAGTCATTTCTGTAGTAGTTACTCCATGCTAAGAATATAGATTCAACTTCTTGACAGAATGTAAAGAATATGTCTTTATATATGTATTTTTCAGGGGTTTAGAGAGGTTACGGGCAGTAGTGTTGAATTTTATGTTTTGTGAAGGGACTTATATGAAAAGCTTGAGGAAATACTGATGCCTGAAGTCTTTAAAGGAAGGATGAAGATTTAGGTATGTGCTCTGTTTAGCTCAATCCAAGCCTGATTGAATTGAATTGACTTAGGAATCATTCAGTGAGAGCTTTCTCCCTAAAAAAACTTCTTGTCTTATGAGAGGTTGATATTGGACTGGCCTGTAGAGTTCACTCTCCAAAGAAGTTTTAGTTGTGTGCCTTTCTTTTTTGAAGAAAGTATATCACTGTTTGGAACTTTTGTGAACAGAGATCAAAGCTGATAAAGATATAGCCCAAGAACTGAAGCTGAATATATTGGCAAGAATGTAGAGAGTTGTTATAAACAATGAAATTTATGTAAAAATAGTGCTGTGTTGATATATATATATATATATATATATATATATATATATATGTGTGTGTGTGTGTGTGTGTGTGTGTGTGTATATAAAAATATATGTAATCCACATTTATATATATTTTTTTCAGAAAAAAAAATGTAGGTTTGTTCAACTTCTCTTTTTTTCTCTTACTGTGCCACACATGCATACATACATGGTATAAGTGTGAAGATTGTTTTTCCCTGTTTTTTATGTCTTTTTTGAAAGTCTGAATAATGATTTAGTTATTCAAAAGGCATTAGAGAAATATATATGTAATATCTTCTCTTTCAGCTTGCTGTTTAAGTCTTAAGCTACGCTACTGAAGCTGCTTTTTCTTCTCTGGGTTGCTAAAGGCTAGTCCTGTGTGCCAGGATAGTTGCTACTGTAAGCAGCTTTCCCCAAGGCCAAGTTACTTTGTATACAGGAAAAGACAGGAGAAAAAAAAACAACCGTGTTGACTGCTGTTGCCCTTAAACTGGCCCTTGAACATGTGATTTCAGGGTGTTTCAGACACCTTCAGAGTGGTAGCTTCTCTGTCTGCTTTGAGTTGTGTAAATCATGAATTTAGAAATGGCCATGAAAGGATGGAGAGCTGGTGTGAGTGAACTCTGGGGAGTGCGAAAACTGAGTTGGAAAATAATGAGGACGCTGTCATGGACACTTGAGGTACTGAAGGTCCCTTGCATGAAGGCCAGAACTTGCCTCTGGCTGTGTGTCTGCCAGTTTTTGACTGAGCAATTTGCTTCCTTACCAAAGCTGAACAGCTAGTAGTTACCTGGTTCTTGTCCTCCCTCATGGCAGTTTTCTGAAGAGCCTGATCCATGAGGTATATTTTGATTGCCTCCACAGTTTTCTGGCTATGGTTCTTTAAATAATTTAAGCAAATTTTTTCCCTCATAAATTCTCAGAAGTGACTCTCTCTCTGCAAACTCCTGTATTGGTCGATACTTTTCCAGTGGGATTCTCATTTGAAAACAGCTTGAACCCACAGTTCACTAAAAATGCAGTAGTCAGTGATTTTTCCCTTTTCCTGTTGAAAATGTATTTCTACATTAAGGAGTATGTAAGGCTCAGAAGATAAAGTAGTGGCAGTCCCTCTGTTGTTAGTTGGTGCTAACGGGGCAGTGAGAAAGCTCTGGGTTCCAGCTCTGTTCTTAGTCCACTTTTTCTACCCTTTATATCCAAGTTCTGTAGAAGTGTGTGTCTGAAGATAAGTTGTTCATATCTTGAAACCACTAGGATTATGTTTTAAAATTATTACTTGTGTTAAGACTTTGATTTTCTTTATGCAGTCAATTGTAAAAGGATGGAGAGGTTATGTTATTTAACCTGCTTGAAATTTGCATAGATAAGAAACTTTAAAAAATTACTGTACCAGTGACAAAGAGCCTTTCAGAATTTTATCCAAGATTAATGTGAATTCAAGCCTTTTAATACAGTGATATGTCTCTTTTGTTTGCTTCTAATTTTGTTTTTCTTTTGTGTAGGTTTGCAGTCTTTAAGAAAAACTGAAGTGCTTTGAAGAAGTGTCTCAGAGAACCTGGTGTTTTCTGTTGGCTGACTGATGACAAATTTAAGAGAGCTCTGTTGCTATTAATTATGCATTTATCCTGACTTTTTCTACATGACCGTGAGGGGCAATATTCGGAATGAAGCTGCCATCATGTCATCCACAGGCAGTGGCACTGATATTGAAGAATTTTTGGTCAACATTAACTTGGGACAATATCTTCCTAACTTTAAAGAACATGGCTATAACATTGTGACAGACTGTATGGGAATAAATAACAGTGCACTTCAGCAAATGGGAGTATTGCCTACAGGCCATCGCAGAAGGATACTTAAGCAGTTAGACACTGCTCTTTCAAAAATTCAAGGAAATTCTCTTTCCCGTGACAGTTTAAAACGCAAAGAGTTGAAAGGTTTAGAAAGGAAACAATATTTATTTTCAGACAAGGATTCCCCAATAAGCCATTTAGAAGTAAATGAATCTGGCTTGATACCTGCAATATCATTGGTACAATTTCCTAACAAAGCTTACACTGGTAAAGAAAGATTCAGAGCTGGAGAGCAAAACATACTGGAAGTGAATGATGAAAACTTTCCAAACTCAGATTTTTCTAGTTTATACCAGAATTCAGACAGTGTACTAAAAGCTGCAAGTGGAAGTATGAAGATGAATACTGAGTCAAATACATTGCTTGAAAAAGCTGCTGCATACCAGACTGATGAGCACTTGGCTGACTGTGTAGCATTTTGTGATCCTCTTTCACTCACTCATTCGTATGAAACAAAATACAAGGAAAACAAACATCAGATGTTTGCAGTTGAGGAGGATCTATCTGATAGTGAGACACATTCACCGTTTGTGAAGTTTAAAGGAGAAATGATAGACAATGACTTATATGATTCTTGTACGCAGAACAGTGTGAAAGTATTTCCAAGAGCAAGCCGATCTTTTATATTAAGGCATCGACCAGTACCAGAAATCCCTGAATCAAGCAAAGTTGAAACTTCATTGAGGTAACTGCTGTTTCTTTTTAATGATGAATTGTTATCCTCAGAGAACTTATGGGATGGTTTTGAGAGGAAGAGTAGGCATGAGGTGCCTTTTTGTGGATTTTTTTTTTTGTGTGTGTGTGTGTGCTGTAAATATAGTGGGTCTGGAATGAATAATGCCATATTATCCAAAGAAGGATTAAGCTTCAATGCAAGTTAAAAGTGCAGAAGGGAATATATGGGAAACTTTAGAATTATGCGCATTATAATCTTTGTGATCATCTGTGCCTCTACTTATTTCCAAAGAAATGAATCCTATTGCTTTAGAAATAACCCAGGTTAAGAACAACTATATCAGGCATTTGGTAGACTAAACCTATATGCTCTTAACCATCTATATTCTCTTAGATAAATACAGCCTGCTATATAAATATAGCATTTCTATATCCAAGATATAGATGAGAAAGAATGAAAATATGCAAATGTTACAAAAATTATACTGAAAAAAACGAAAGCTGTTGAATGTATTCTGAACCAAAATGTTACAATTAATTAGACACTAGCCCCAGTATCAAATGAAATCCTGATTCATAGCAGAGAAAATGGTCACAAAATAGTAAATTCATGAAGACAATCAATCATCCTAGAAAGATCTGTTTCTATTAGAGAAACAGCAGTTAAAATTGTGAAACACAGATAATCTTGTTACTTTTTAGAACCTATTAAAAGTACATCTTCAGGAAAACATTGTCCTTTGAAAATAAAAGCTTATAAGAAAATGGGTTACATTATATAAAAATATATAGGAATTTTTACACAACTACATGTATTAATGTGCTTCTATCTGAAAAATGAGGCAAAATTTAGGAGAGCCACCTTGTCTATTTCATGCATTGTATGGTGTAGCCACCCGGAAAGAATGTATCTGTGTGAAGCAGTAGTTATATGGTGGATTGCACATGTGAACACGGGAAGATGATTTTAAATCTTAGCCTTAAAGCACAAAACTGCACTAGATTTTACGTTGTTCTAAAATAGAATAAAATACTTAACAGTGGAATAAATTGTTTTATACTGTGTATCTAAAGCAAACCCTTCATAATGTCTCTTAGACTGATTTCTAAACTCCTCATCATTTAACTGTTAATTCAGAGTATGAATACAACAGGTTTGTGATGTTAGTTGTTGGCTTCTGCTGGTATTTGCATACCAACAAAGCTTGGCTTTTAATGATGCTTGCAGTATAATTTTTATTTATTTATTTCAGGAATTCCAGTAGGAAGAAGTGGGGGGGGAGGGAGGGGGGGGGGGGGTTGAAAGGAAAACATTCCACTTTCTGGTTTCAAAATATTCCCGTGATGTGTGTGTACATTTTTATTCCTTTAGAATGCTACTCAGTGGCATTTACTGTCTTGAATAAACTTTTGTTGCTTCTTTTGCAAAGAGGTGGTGAAATGTAAAAGTAAAGATCTGACATTAGAAGTTAATTCTGTTAATAAGTCTCTCATAATAACTATGAATATTAAAAATAGGAGACAATGAATGAGCAGTTGACCATGATATTATGAGCTGTATTCACAGAGTACCTTCCCACAGCATCTTAGAGAGAAGAAAAATTCATGCAAAAACATATGCAAAATTTTGTTACTGTAGACATATCCAAATCATGAGGTTGCACTTTTTTAGCCACTTTTTTTTTTTTTTTTCCCAAGCCACTAACTATGCCTGGAAGGGACATGTCTGAGAATGTTTTGTATTTATCTTGTCTTTTTCATCAGCATATCTTAGCAGTTAGAAACATCATTAGCAAGTTTACACATGCCTTAAGTGCAGAGTTTTCCCAAGCATTTATAAGTTTCTTTCAGATTGTTGAAAGATGTTAATGCTAAATAGTGGAGTACAATTGTTTGAACAGGTGGGGAGGCAAAGATTTTTTGCAACAAGTAAGAGATCTTTGTGTTCCTCAATATTTTTTTTTATCTCTGCCTTCTGAAACATCAAATTGTGTTTACTGAAATGGAAGTATAAACATTTTTCAATGGGGAGTGCCTTTATGTTAACTTTTATGGAGCAAAGCTATTCTGGCTGAGCTGAAATGGGAACCGAGTGCAGATAAAGGCAATAATAAGTAGCTTTTGAAAGAATATTCTTACGTCTTCTGAGAAAGAATCAGCCAGTAGAAAGAATATGCTGTGTTTATAGTATTCCTGCCATCAAAGTAAATCCTCCAAATTCTGATCTCTTAGTGACTGATGTTTGGATGGGTCACCAACTTCATTACCCACCATCCTGATTTGTGAACTTGAGTTCTTTGTCTTTATGCTCATTTATAACAATGTAAAAATGCTGAAGGACAATTAGCAAGTCTGTCTGAGGAAGATCAAGGGTAAACCAGAATTTCAAAACAGAACTTAAAAAACATTCTTGATTAACTCTGTTGGGTACTTTTTCCTTTTTTTTTTTTTTTTCTTTTTTGTTTTTTTAGAGGCAAGAAATTAGTAAAGAACTTTCAAGTAGTAGCTTGCAGCATCTTTAACCTCAGGAAAGATCATATCTGTCTTATAGGATTGCATAAAGAAGTATTCTCAACTGACTTCTGTTGATGGATGCTGGTTTTCTTATAATTACATTGTGTGAAGGCTTTTCCCATACAGGCAGAGAATTCCAGCTGAAATCTACTGGGAAACCTAGCATCGTCTTCTGGTCATGCATGGATATTAGTCATTAAATTTTTATGCAAGGAAATGCTTTTCTCATGATCTCTTGTGTGCCTTCTGGCACACCAAGTTGGTACAGTAGGTCTCCTTGCAGCACTTAGTAGTGCTGTGACTGTATAACTTCTTATTACTAATAACGTACCTGCCTCTCCTGCAATCTTAGCTGCTCTCCTGTGCTATGCTTTTGCTTCTGGCTCTTGCCTGTAACAAAACATGTTGTCAACTGGTAAGTCACCATGACATTTTGGAAGTGGAACTCAAGATAGTTACAAATGTGCAATAAAACTCTGAGCCTCTGCATTTTGTATTTAAGTCACTAGTTTGAATTTGTTAACATGCGTTCCCACTAATGTTGTGGGATTGGACAGAATGGGCTGAAAGTTCTGGGTCTCTTGATTCCTTTGGCAATTTCTTCCATGCGAGTTAAAAGCTGGTGTCTGTAAGACATAGTGAAGGTAGTGCAATGGATGGAGCTAACCACATACATGCCTGCAGCCATGATTAAAGATAGTACATACAGAGATAGATTTGAAGGTTCTGCATGCCGAGGACAGCGTCCTTTAGCAGGCACTGTTGAGTGAGATAGCTGCAGTTGCGTTCGTTGGAGCTGCAGTGCTGTTAATGGAAGACCTGAAGCAGATTTATAACATGGTAGAACTGGTTGTGACACTGAGTGAGTGCCGCACAGGTTATGTTGGAGACCGACACACTCCATCTATGTGTGGATTTCTAGACATCCTCCAACTTAGTGACTTGTATAGCTCAGTGATGGAACTGTGTAGATTCCTCATTAAAAGAAAGAAGAAATAAACCAAAAGTAACTACAGAAAAGCTGCTGCACTGGCAGTGAACAAAGGTGCTTGGCCTTAAACCAAGCTGTCCATTGACAGCAACTTGCCACTTCCATGGTGGACACGTACCAGGGCTGGCATTCTACAAACTATTTCTAACATTAAAGGAATTAGAATTGCTAATGAAGTTCCCAGCCTGGTTCTCTCTCTTTCTGCTCCGTATTCTTCCACACAGGACAGTTTTTAGGTAGTAGAAATGGATCTCGCTCTTCCTACAGCCAAGCACCTCCATTAATTTACTTATACAAGCAGCCTATGAATCCCAGAGCTCCGGAGTGCTTTGGACATGTTTGTTTTATGGGAGGTCAGAATTGGAGCTGACTAGCAAACCTGTTTTGAATGAGTCAGAAAACAAAAGTTTCATTCACTTAAAACACAACAGATTCATGCCAGTAAGGGCTCTGAAGTACTTGCTGCTTGCAACGAGCTCTCTCCCTTGCATCACTGGTGAGATGGCAGGTGGAGAGAGAATAGAACAGCTCTGCTCTGCCCAGCACTAAGCTCTCACTTTTCCAGTCTCTCTCATTGTTTATCAAATTGCTGCCTCATCACGCCATTTCATCCTGTTTGTGCACGAGGAAAGAGAGGCGGGGAGGAGTATGCAGCTTGAGCCACATCCTGTGTCTCTTGAAAATAATGGGCCTTAATTTTTAAAGTTACCAAAAAAAAAAAAAAAAAGGAAATGTGATGGAAATTGTTATTTTATCTTTGTATAATTGGAACTTTTTGATTTGAAAAGCATTACACCATTTGCAATTTTGGAAATGGTTAAGAAGAGAGACATATTTAGATAGACACCAGTGATTTTGATGTGGATGAATTGTTTAGGGGTGAGGGGAAAGAGGAGCATCTTATTTGCCCCCAGTAAGTCTTTTATATTTTTTTGTTATTCAGTTCATGAGTTAATTTTGTACAGTAACTGAGCATTGATAAATTCTAATTTTATATCCTGCACTGTATGGTGTTGGTTTTTTTTTTTTAATGTAATCCCTCAAATAGTCCAACTAAGCTGTTTCATTTATTTCTGGAGATGGTTTTTATTTGACATAAGGTAGAACATCATTTTCCAAAAATTCCCCCCAAATTTACTTTACATTGCGTGTAAAAATGCTACAATTTGCTTTCTAGCAGATTTTCTTGCCATGTATGGATTACATACATGAAAGTATGTAGAAATTTAAAAAAAAATGCAGGTCTTTATAAGTTGATTTATTTCTTATTTTCTGGTGAGTTTATCTGTATTACTTTTTACTCATTACTATTACAATTACCTACTTCTAAATCCTTCCATTCTGAAACTAAGCCATTGACTTGACTGCTTTACATAAAGAAGAAACTGATCATTCTAAAAGCTCTTCAAGTCAAACCTGTTTACTGTTTCTCTTGAATTCATGCTAATGCTAGTTAATACTATTAAAAACATTAAAAAAATAAAAAACTTGACAACAAACAAATGCTGTTTATGTTGAAAAATATTAGTTTTGGCTCTCTTGTAAACATACCAGGTAAGTTCAAATGCATCAAATACATGATTGCTGTGTAATTTCAAAAAGATGTAGCTGCATCAGATTTAGTGAACTACTTGAATAGATGCGAGGTATTGTGTATTTTTCTTTTTTTTTCTCTCTTCCTAATTATAATTTATAGAATAAGTAGTTATTTAGCATGGAGTTAGGTTGTAATCTACTTTAACTGGGCCAAACCCATTCTATGTTTTCTAAAGCAAGAATTTTACGCAACATCATCTGGAAGCATAAGTGGTATAACAAGGATAACATGAAATAACAAATAACTTTATAAAGTACTGCTTCTATGTTGAATTTAATACACTATCTGTTTTATGAGGGCAGATTTAGGTACGGATTGGAAAGAATGCACTATGGAAATACGTGAATGTATGCCTTCTGTCATAGAGAAACGCCAGCCTGTATTATGAAACAATTCAACGTGGACTTTATGAGTCAGTATTTCTAAAATTTGAAGTATAGCTAGTCATAAAAGAACATTTCTCAATATGTCTAGTGGGGAAATGAAAATCAGATATATTGATATTTTTATTAAAACATACTTATCTTTGGATTTGAAGGGCAGAAGACCCCCAAACTCTTAATAGAAACTGCAGCAATCTTACATACAATCTTATGTATCATTTATCAATCAGTGGGTATTCTGTAAGGATGCACAAGGGTCAATATCACTGTTACTTCAAGCACAGAAAATAAAATAGAGAGATTGCTAGTTATTCATGTTAACAAGGGTGATATCACAGCGGGCTGCTGCAGCACTGAAGATAGGTCAGAAATGTATTACTTCAGGCATGTTTTTTACTGTTCAGTTATTCCAAAGTTGCCTGAAATATCAGTAGTAAAGACAAAAATGTGATCTTAACTGGCATATGCCACTGTACAAGAAGTTTGCAAAATGCATAGGGACCAGCACAACACCAATAATAAAATGATTTTTTCGTGTGTGTATGTATATACATGTCCTTGTCTATCTATAAAATGCATCATGGCAGTTGCATGCACGTGCAAAGCAATTTCAGTTATGTTACAGATTGAAAATTTACTGGGAGAAAATCCTCACTGAGAATTAAACATTTTCAGCATTATTTCTTTCCATTGGATCTAGATTTTCATACCTAGACTCACTATATGCTTCACATTTGAAGACTGTCTTTGGAAGTGTAGTTTTGAATGCATTCACTGTATATGAAGTAGAAGGAGAAAGTAGTTCCTCACACTTCCCTAAAGTCTAAATAAATATTAAGACCAATTAAAAAATAAAAATATTCTGAAGATACCTACTCAGATCAGTGAAGTATTGTGTCATAAAGGGAGGAAAGCAAGTGGTTGGGTAGTATTTAAATTCAATCAGGAGACTTTCCCAAAACTTAGAATTGGCTATTTTTATGTTTGTATGTATTCTTAATGACTTGTTTAATCGCATAATATGCTTTTGTTCAATTTCTGGGATGTTTCACTTAATGTTTTCATTTTGTACTATATTTTGTTCAAGTTCCCTTCAGAAAAGAAGAAACGTGGATGTTACAGACATATCTTGTGCTGGGAGGCAAGTTTCACAAAAAAGTGAGTCAAGCATGCTGGTACTTCTATCTTGAATCTTCAGAGAAAGGAAACCTTAAATCAGAAGCTGAAATCTAAAATTGACTTGCTCATTTAAAGAAATACCAGGCTTCTGGAATGCCTAAAAAAAGTGATGCATAAAATAGCAGAGCATGTAACCACTTCTCCTTTTTCACTTAGTTTTTATTTGTGAAAAAATAAATAATTTTTTAAAATAATTAATTAAAAAAATAAAAATTTGAAAATCCAGATTTTGAACTTCAGTTATTTTAACATGACTGTTTTTGATTATGATACATTGAGTTTCTAAGATTGGATGCAGATTGTTAAAAGCAGAATCAGCTTTTTCTCGAAAGCTTTAAGCAGGGTACTTCTGACTAATGTTAGTGAGAATGGTACTCCCGGAAATAACAGGAAATTAATTGTGTTAAATAGTTTACTGGAAGAAGTTAACAGTGTGAGTTGCACATAAAAAAAACCAAACCAAAACAAAAAAGAAAAACAGTTTTTAGACTCCAGAAGTATGTCTTGTTTGAAATTATGCGTATCAGTTTCAAGCAGATGGTTGGTGATGGAATGAAAACTGAGTAAAAATGAAATGGTTTTATTTGTTTAGTTTTATGGATTTTGTTTTTTAAAGTTGGAATCAAGTTTGCAATTACTGCTCCTGAGAGAGTACAACAAAACTTTTTTTTTTTTTTTTTTTTTAATTTGATAGCCTGTATGTAAGCTGTATCTAAATTATATGCTAGGAAAGAGATGCAGTAAATTGAGTGAAAATAATAAAGGGTATTATCTGAAAAAAATTAACTAGAGTTCAGTTTGAGATGGGGAAATTCTTGTTTTTCAATTTTTACTTTGATTCTTCTTTTTTTCCTGAGGAGAAAAGAAAAATCAGAAGTAGAAAAACCTGTATCTTTTGTGATTTTTTTATCAGTATCTTCTTGAACATGGCAGTGTATGATGCTATATTTTTTTGCTTTAAGAAACTTTCTCGGAAGAAAAGCCACCTGTCATATCACCTTATGGAGAAACCTTTTTTTGGGACAACCTTAAAGATGCTAAAGTAAGTTGATAAGTCTGCATACAAATGGTTCATCTTCTCTTTAATTTCATGCTATGCACTGAATACTGCCCTTAATTCTTTTTTTGCTCTCCTGTTTCATTTCTCAGTACCTTTTACGTCTTCTTTAGTGCATGCAGAAGCTTTATATTTGTGAGCAGGCAACTCAGCACCACAAAGCTGCTCATTCTCTTTCCCTTGATGGGATGGAGATAAGAAATGGAAAGGTAAAAGTGAAAGAACTGTTGGACAATTTATTAGGTAAAGCAAAAGATGTGTGCAAGAAAAGCAAAACAAAGGAATTCATTGAATAATTTCCATTCACAGACAGATGTTCAGCCACTTTCAGGAAAGCAAGTCTCATCACATGTAATATTTTCTTTTGGGAAGGCACATACCACTACTCTGAACTTCTCCCTCTTTCTTTCCACTTACCCTCAGTGTTATTATTCAGCATGACAATCTATTGTATATCTCGGATGGGATATGCCTTCGGACATCTTGGATTGGGTATTTTGTCCCCTCCCAGCTTCTTGCTCAACCAAAAACTACTAGAATGGAACATTCCTTGTCTTGATTTAGCACTGTTCTGCAACAACTTAAAGCATCAATGTTTCCACCACTATTTTCATGAAAAAATCTAAAACACAGCATGATGTGAGTCAGTATGAAGAAAATTAACTCTATCCCAGTAAAAACCATCACAACAGTATACATATGTATGGACTAATGACTATATCTTGAATTACGCTTTGTAGTGTTCAATAGAAATACAAACTTTTTTTGTTTATGGCCATTCTTTGTTGTGTTTTTTTTTGTTAATTTTTGTTTCTCTTGAAAACAGGTGAGTGTCTCTTTTCTGCTCAGAGCTAGATGCTATCGTATTGAATGAAAAACAGTCAGTTACAGATAGCTGCAGGCTACCTTAACAGCTTTCTTGTACCTTCTTAACTACAGTGTCATAGTACTTTGTGCCTAAGTGAGGTTAAGTAAAGGATAACCATTGGAGCTGACTAGTAACGGTAGAAGTGGCTTTTCTCTTTTCTGATAATGCGGTATCAAGACTGAGCATCTCTGCACAGACTCACAGAAAGTGTATGAAAGCAGCTTATATGCAACTGAGGTGATATAATAGTCACTTGTGGCCATATGCTTTTTATTAGTTCCTATATATAAACGTTCTGAGGACTTCTATTATTTTTTTTACACAACCACAAACTTGCTGTACATCACTTTTGTGGCAAGATTCTCTGAAGTAAACATTTTTGTTGAGGTCAGTAATAGAACAGTTGGTGCTATATATGGAATGTGCACAGACGTCTGAGTCACATGGTGTTCTGGGAGGTTAACTAGCTTAGTAAGGCATCCAACAGATGCTGTGAATCTCTCCCTACTAATGCTTCTGACTCAGAAATTGTTGCTTCTTTTTTTACTTATCTGTTTCAGCTGATCTCAAGCCACTGACTTGAGGAAAACAGTAGATAATTATTTTCTGCCTTGGTCTTCATGATAATGTTTCTCTTTTTCAACTGTTGTAAACTATTGACTAAATTGAGCATTGAAATTAAAGCGTTCAAATTGCATCATGTAATGAGAGGCTTTTTAAAAGCATAAAAATGATCTTTAGTTTTGATGTGTACTTTCTTTTCTTTGGAATTGTGTTGTGTGAGTTTTCAGTTTTCATTGTTCGCTCTTTAAGGAGGTGGGCATAAATTCATGGCTTTTCCTTCTAATTCTTGTTATGTGCAGAAAGGTTACTTCTAAGCTTTTGTTTTCTATTGCATAGCCTTGTCTATGCCAGTTATTAAAATGTCTTTTACAAATTCAAATTTGAACTTCTTTGTAATTAATTTAATTGCATGAGCAGTTTTTCTAGAAAAGTTTTCTAGCCTTGTTATTTCTTAGCTTTTTTTTTTTTTTTTTTTTCTTTCTTGAAATAGTTGGTTATAATAAAGCATATCTGGGAAGATTGTCTGCAATTTTTCTTCCAAAGGCAGCAAATATTAAAAGGAATCAACAACAAAAAAAGACAAAAAAAAACCCTGTGCTGTTTATCTAGATTAACAGCTCAAAATAGAATTGCTATTTCTGCTGGTTGTAGAATCTCAATTAATGCAGTGTATTACAATGTACTTTCTCTGATCTGAAGATTTGGATTTTAATTATCATTTTCACGTAAGTGAACAGGTTTTTTTGAGTTACACTTACCACATGCTAGTTGGAAACTTCATAGTTGATTTTGCTTCCATTAGAACATAATTGCAGACTAAGGTCATACAGCAAAGTTGTTAAGCAAAAGTCCAAAGATATGTTTAATTTGCAGCTATTTTTCCAGTAAGTATCACATATCCTAGGAACAAAGTTTAGCCAACCCTGCAAAGTATCTGAGATTTTAGTAATTGTTGCTTCATTTTTAAAAAAAAAACAACTTTGCATGAGAATATAGTTCATCTGTATTTAAGAAGACAGCAAATTGTTATAATGACCAAAGGAAGCCTGTTCTAAGTGGTTAGAAGTTGACCATTAACTTTCTTCTCCTTTTATTGGTGCAACTAAAGAAAGGCTTCTATAGACTTTATAAGGGGAGTGTCTGTAGAAACAAGCAGTGAGTCACAGCAGACTAGAGATAAGTGAGCATGAGAGAACAGTGAATTAAGGACAGAAAGAAAGTTCAGTTAGACTTAAGTGAGGAAGAAAGGCAGCTAGAAGCAGAAACCCCTAAAGGGCAACCTGGAGAAGGAACATTTTTCTTTAATATTAATCAAAGAAAAGCACTAAAATCCTAACACTTTACAGCTGACATACTATTCTGTTCGAGTAAAGAGTGAAGTATATCAGAAATCACTTTTTCAGTGAAGGAATTCTAAGTTCTTAAGTTTGGTTTCATTTCCTGCTGTAAATTCTTAGACTAGGTTAAGCACGCATATTGAGATAAATAATCCATGTGAGCTCTTAAGCACTGTGATACTGTGGAATGCTGGCTAGATTACAAGTCTTAGAACTTTAAAACAAGGAAGACTTAATATTTGAAAAGGAGGAATTCTTATCATTAAGGCTCTGTTATAAAACTGTATTGCCTTCAGTCGAAGACTAAGGAGCATGTCTCAAGTAAAGATTGAGAATAAACCACTCAAGTAAATCATGAGTGACATGTAGCATATAATGTGACAGTAGTCCCAATACTCATCTTAGTATTCAGGTTTCCTCACTTTCCATTTTGACTAGCAAAATTGGCTGACAGAAAAACCTTTTAAACAATAATGCATCTGAATTACTTCCTGATCAAAAAAGGTTTATACAGAGCTGCCAGCAGGCAGTTCCATCTGCCTGCCACCTAGAAGCCCGGTATCTTCCTTAAGCGTGGGTGCTTCCTATGCAATCTTTTAAGAAATACTTGTTTCTACAGGCGCAACTGCAGGGGAAAAGGCTCCCTACCTTTTCGTAATACCTTGGAGTTATAGGAGGTGGGAGATAACAGTTCTGTCTCATTTTGAGTTTGAGCATCTTGCAGAATAATCCTGTAACCAACACATGGGTTTTCTTCTTTAATTTGTGTGGAGTCTGTTTTTTGTGAGTGAACAGTAGTGTCTGTTCTGGATTTCCATATTTTAAACTCTTCTAGAAATATAAATGTATTTGTTGATATCTCTCGTAAGTTCTCAGGCCCCCCTCAGTTCACTTGGCCAAGTACTGAAGTACTTGTCTCTTGGTTATTTGTAAAAGTGGGATGCTGCCACTTCCCCTTGTTTTATGAGACAAATTTTAAGCACTTCATGGGCAGTACATAAGGTGCTTTTGAGTTTTCTGTTTCAGTTGTTAACATGATGTAGGAATGTGGGGGGTTATTTATTTATTTATTTATTGTCTAATCTGTGGTGCTACAATGCAGTTAACAGTGTGGGGTATGTGGTGGTGGGGTTTCTTGTTCATAATGTATATGACTGGCAGAGAAAGGCAAAGTGTTCACCTAAGGTTGTCCTATCAGCAGCCAGTGATTGCCTCAGTTTTTGCTGTAGTGTACATACACATACTCAGTTTTTATAATCTTATCATTTCATGTTGCATAGGTGAAATCATCAAACATAGGATGAGATGCTGTTTCTCAGAAAACAAACAGCAACAGTTGTGAAAGCTTACCCAATTTTTTTCTGTGCTCTTCAGCTTTATGACATACACTTCAAAGCTTAAATGAGTAAATTAAAACGTTTCTATCATGAAGCACGAAGCAATTCATTTTAAGTTTTCTTTTTTTTTTTTTTTCTTTCTAAAGGAAGAAAGATGTTGAGAAGATTAGTAATACAGTATGATTGGCAGATCAAGTTTAGGAAGTGTGAAGTAGGAAGTGTGATGTGTAATGTTCTTAAGCAATGTTAACCTTGATATTTTGTACAGTACAAATAATGTGTCATAAAGATTTCTAAACAAACATGAATAAACATATCTTTTAGAAAGAAGATGGCAAGAAGATGCTACATATGTTCAATATGACTGAGTTCAGCTTCAACGTAGGAATGTAAATTTGCCTGTATTTTGTCTTTGATCTACTGTAAACACTGTATATTCAATTTAGAGAAGTATTAACATGAAAGATAGACTATAAGTAGCAAATCATAAATGGTATACTTATCATGCACTCGACATGTGGCTCTTGAGCTTTGAAAATACTCAGCTGTTATTCAGGAACAACTAAGGTACAAATATTTCTATGCACTGAGGTTCTTTAACTTTTTTGTTTTTTTAGTATTTTGGACTATGCTCAAATATATTTATCTGAATTAAAATGGAGATATTGAAAATAAAATACTTTTGGAATGTGTTTTTTCAGATCTGTGTTACATGAAAATTTGGAAAAGGATAACTTTGCCACTTGGTCTGCTGGTGTGATTTATGTCTAGAATAATTTAAACATTATTTACTGTTTCACTACACACGTTTGTTATGGCTTATTTCTTTTCTAGGAACATCATAGGAATGAATTCCTGGCTTGTGAAAATAAATCAGATTTGGAAATGTCTGAAGAATATTCTTCTAACAGGAATATATGGTATTAAATAGGAGTTATCAAAAAAATTAAACAGTTTTAAATTTAGAGTTATTTACTGATGTAATAAGTAGAGCTCTAACTCTGACAAACCAAGAGACTGTATGTATCTTGTTATCTATTTACTTAACTTTTCTGCCATTTTAGCTTCCACCTCATGCCATAGGTGACTATCCTAAGACTGTCTAATCTAAGCTTCAGAATCTTTTGTGAATTTGGGAGATGTCTTATTACTTATCCCTCAGTCAGAACATCCGGAATATAAAATTTGGCTTCCTTGTCTTCTAGATAACAATGTCTGAGTACTTTCATGCTCTGCCTATTTAAAAAATTCCCAAAACATTCTTGAGTACTCTCATAAGGCAAGGGCTGATGGTTTTTACTAAATGGGAGCTCACATGTCCTTTCAGACTGTCTGCAATTGGCTTCTATCAAAGTGAGAGAGACAGAAGAAAGAGGTGATATTGCAAGTCCTCCAAAATTTCAGAATGAATAAAGCTAGTCTTCTGAGGAAGGAGAATTCATTTTAAAATTCTGTAGAATTCTACCTTCCAAAGGATCCTGCTGACAAAGAAGTATTCTGTTATAGTTGTAGTTAAAGGATATATATTACATTTAACATCAATCTGTGGTTATCACAAAGGTGAAATTTTATTTACAGTATGTCTTAACATTTGTTCTATGTAACGCTTTATTGTTTATTGTAGAAATAAATGAAGAATAAAGTTATTTTTACTTTGCAGTTCCCTTAATAATCAAGATGGGAAGACAAAGGAATGTGTGAAAAATGAATCTTTGTCTCAGGAAAACAAATCATTACCTCCAGAAGACTTGGAAAGCGAACCTGTATATTCTATTGTGGATCAATGTTCTTTTTCTTCCAAGAAAAATAAAAATAAAACCAATACCCACTCATCATCCTGTAAGAACCAATGTGGAGAATCATATTGTCTGGTCAGTGAACAAATGGATTCTCAACAATTTGATGGAGCTCAAACTTCAATTGCAAATGAATCAATAGCACCATATGCTTGCTTTTATGGATCATCAGTAAAGAAGGTTAAAGCAGGATGGCTGGATAAATTATCTCCTCAAGGGTATGATATTTGCAATGATTACTGTATAATTGCAAAGGGGTTTCCATAAGACTCTTTAAGTTACTGCCTATTATTTGTTGTGGAAAGAAGAAGGGAACTACTTTTATTGCAAGATCATAGGTATTTACTTTTTAATTCTCAATTTTTAATGATGTATTACTTCTAAAATTTATTTTGGAAGTATGTTCAGGAAATAAATATTAAAAATTTTGATGTCTACTCATGAAAATACAGAATTTGTGGTAATATTTTCAATCTACAAATTTTTGATAATTCTCTGTTGACCACAAAGTAAGTGAAAACAAATTCTGATTCTGAAATACTGTTTTACCAATTTATCCATTATTTTGTTGACTGGAGATCTTATTGATTTTAGAGTTATGTATTCTCATAGGAAGAGAAGTTGATATTTGAGGTTAGAAATCTACAGTGATGCATGCAGACTAATTTAGTTTACTGATGTGCCTAAATTTTGGTGGGAGGAATATGAATGCAAGCATTCCTCTGAAATTTTAAGTAGTGATGGATATAGAATAGAATACAATAGGCTAATGTAATCTCATATTTAATTGCTCTTATTGTTCAAAATTTAATTTAACCTTTAAATTCCAGTCTTTGATTCTTTTACGCTGAAGAGCCCTCTGTTATATTCCTTTCATAAATACTTGTAAACGCTGATGACATTCTTTTAACCTCGTGCTTAATTGAACAGACCAAAGAATCTTCAGTAGTTTCTGCTTCTGTAATTATTCTAATGATTTTCTGTCTCCTCTTTGCATTTTTAAGATTGGCATAATTTTATTTCTGCTTCTGATTTTCACTAGCAGCTAGAAATCTAGTTTGTTGTCCTTTAGTGCTATGATGCATTTCTTTTATCTGTACTTGTCCTCAAACCTTACCAGTTCTACTTTCTTTCTTCTTAAGACTAAAGGTTTAGCTGCATGGGAGAGGTGATTTCATTTTGGGCTTTTCTTTCATTATTTTTGGTGACAATAACTGTAAGCTGTTACAGCAATTATAATTTTTTTTCCTGTTTATTGACAAAAGGTATTGAATTATATTGCTTGAGAATACATTTTGGTTTGTGTCCACTGAAGGAAGTTCTATCAAAGGAATTTCTGGTTGATCATTTATTTATTTATTTATTTATTTATAAGTTTCATTAACTTTTAAGGATTGTGTTTAAGTATTTTAATAAAGAATCAAAGAATAATTGCACATAGATTCAAAAGACTTTTCCCCATTACAAGACAATTATCTTTTTTTTTTTTTTTTTTTTCAGATTTGATAATATATTCTCAGAAGATTTGCAGTTAGCTCTAATTTTTGTTTAATTTCACATGCTTTTCCACACCTCAATTTTGGCAATAGTTATTAGAGGGATATAAATACAGTTATGGACTCCAGTTGCTGGTGCAATTTGAAGGAATAGGGTTTGGAACAGAATATGAAAGCTTTAGCCAAAGTACTGTGTGAGGCTACATTATTTTGAAAAAGATATTGAGTTAGCCACAAAATTAATACTAGGTAGCATTGTGTAGTACAGTTTCAGGGTCATTAGCTTCAAGCTAGCGATGCTTTTTGGATAAATTTCAAGGACTTGTTCTCAGATATCATTTAATGAATGCAGATTTTTTTTTTTTTTTTTTTTTTGCTCTTTTTCTTAAATTTCATGCAGCACCATTTCTCAAATACCTGAAGAAAGCAACCAAAGGGAGGGGGAACTAGCAGTCATTTCTTCTTCCCTTTAAGCCTTGCCATATTTTATTCCAATCGCTACCAACAGTGTTTCTTTGCTTTATTTCTCCTCCCCCACCTGCTCCCTTCTTACTTTTTATAAGGCTTCTATTTACACCTGGCATTTTGTCCCCTCATGAAAATGAAGATGCGCAATTTTCTCAAATTATTGCAAATTGAGTGTTTAAAGTACAGCTTCTAGTTTTCATGAAGTCACTGTAACTGTAAAGCCATTCAGTTCATTTACATGATATTGGGCACTTAGGTTTGCATATCCTTCTCTGTATCAACCTGTATCAACTCAAAGTTTACTGACATTTCAGTAGAGAAGAGGTTTTCTGTTGGCCTTTCCAGGTTATGAAAAATGATTTATTGTACTCACATTATGTAAATTAATTAAGCCAGAGCTGGTATATGATGAAAGTTTTGGTAAGCTACCGTAGTCTTCTAATCACATCCTTTAATAGGAGAAGAAATAATACTGGGAAAAGAGTGGGCTCTTGTTCCTTCTTAATAAATTGCTTATTGGATTTTAGAATTGAAACTTTCATCGATGATAAGTTATAGTCAACATTTTTAAAGAACATACTGGACTGCTTCAGGTTTATGTTACACAACTTTCAAAGGAGGTTCTCATACAGCGTGAATTAACAGGAAGCTGACATAATCCAATGAGCTTCTTGTCAGTTATCTCTAGTTGATAACAGAAATTGAAAAGAAATTTCTCTGTTGTACTTGTTGAATGATTTGGTGTGACTGTTATTTATTCATTGGTCAGGGAAGAGAGTGTTGGGGAAAGGTTAATGAATGAAGGTATCATAGGGTGTAAACAGAGATGTCTGTCTTATGAACCTGTAAATGAGATGGTCGTTTTAGATTCTCACCTTTCCTTTTTTGGAAATGATGTTACATATCTTGTAACATTTTAAGGTATGCTCTATATAAAGAATATTCCTTTGTCTCCAATAAAAATAGCCTGTTCTCATCCTTTACCTGTTAGGTCAAAGCAAAATTACATTACTGAAAGCTCTTTTTTCCTTTGTCACTTCGAATATGGTAAAGGAACATGAGAATGCGGAAAAGAAAGAGAGGCGAAACTTGATTGATAAAAACATGAAGGCACTGATTTATAACTGAACTCCATTAATTCTGTACTTCTTATCTCCAGATATTTTTATTATATTTTAAATCAATGTTCTAATCTTCAAAGGGGCTAATTTTAATTTCCAGAAAGTTCAGGCCCAAACACAGGAAGCAAAATCTGATTTGACCTTTTGAGACATTCTTAAAAGCCAATATAACATGTCATTTTAATTGTATTCATTTTTGATTCACAGCAAACGTATGTTTCAGAAGCGCTGGGTTAAATTTGATGGAGACAGCATTTCTTATTACAATAATGAAAAGGTAAGTGGCATGTTTGGGTCAGAATGCATGTGTATAATAGACAACATTTAGAAATAACTCCAAATGAACATTTATGTTAAATGTATTATTAATTGCAGAATATTAGAACAAAGCATTATTACAGAACAACAGAATAATGAAAAACTCATTTAAGAGATCAAATGTTGCTTTGGTGATGGCTGCAAACTGTCTTGTCACAGAAACCCAGCATGAGACATATATATATGTATAAAGAAATATATATATGTATATATATATATATATATATATATATATAGAGAGAGAGAGAGAGAGAGAGAGAGAGAGAGAGAGAATTTGGAATGGAAGCCTTGTAAAAACAAAAAATACCCCATGATTCCTATATATTTTCTTATTACAAATGTCTCTCCTGTGTGACTTTTAGGAATAATCACAAACAGCAGGACTAGTTCCTATTAGAATGGGTCAAATATACCCATAATACATAATAAACAACAGCATAATACTGTGATTCCAGTGGATGTTTTAGTTTTTCTGCACCTAAGGATTGAATTGTCCTGAAACATTTGCAGGCTCATGCATTGCTTTGATTCAAGTGGTTCACTTTTGACGGATGACTGTATGGAAGTTTTGAGTCATGGCCTGAACCACTGATTGAGCACTGACTGGAGAAAGGACCTGGTCAGTCTTGGGAACATAGGTGAAGGCAATTCACCTGAGTGACTGGAAGGTGTGGAGCCTGACTGCACCTTTCTTAGACCTCATTTAAGGGCTCACTGCCACTGGGGAAGGATCACTTTCTGGAGATCCCTCCTTGGTGGAGCTTTCCTCTCTGAACCTAAACTCTTCTGATATGGGTGAGCAATCTTCTTCCCTTCCTTTATAGCACCTTTCTATTTTGCAAGTCCTTCTGTCATCACACCTTGTTGTAATGCCTTTCCCATTGTAGTGATCTGTCCAATTGCTACGGTGACATAAAAATAAATTTGTAAGTCATCATTTTCAAAAAAAAAGTTATTTTTTTAGACCTGCTTTTAAACCTTGCTTTCCTTTTATCTTTTTTTCTTATCTATTTAATATAAGTAAGCTGACTTTAAAATTATTTTTCTGTTGTTCTGTAATTAATTAATTTCTTTTGGAAGATATGCAGATCTTGTTAAGCTCAAAAATGTTAGATGATTGCATAATATAGAAATTTTTTGTTGGAAATGAGGCTGTATGCACATGCACTGTTTAAAACACTGGGTAGCTTTTCCTGTTGAAGATGCATATTAAATTAGGAAGAAAATTCAGCTTTGTGTTGTAATGTGGGTTTTGTTATGATAGGTGTTGATAATAAGAATTCCACATTTTTTTATAATGTGCACACGTTGAACTGTTTCAGCAGATTATGAAGAGGGAGAACTGAAGTAGAGAAAGGTTGAGTATATCCTGAGGGGCCAGAGAACAAGAGCAAGAAGTATTTACATTATGCTTCATTATGCCTGCTGATGAGGAACATGAGACAGCCTGTTTTTGCTTGCTTATTTGTCTTCACTTAGTAGACATGATTATGTAGATGAAGAGAATATTTTGATTGGAGGGACAAAATATGTTATCCTCTCTGTGGTATTCATGCCAGAGCTTTAAAGGCGCAGAAAAGCAAGGTTAGTGATTAAGAATGGCTTAAATAGCATTGAATTTGCTTAATATCTTCTATCGCATAATTAGGGAAAGAAATGTTAATTTTAAAGAATTTTCAGTCTTGTATCTAAAGTTGAGATTTATTTAAATTGGAGGGTCACTATTAGTTATATGGAGGTCACTAGACCAGGACTTGTTATATGCTTGTTTGTTGCAAGAGATTACAGAAATCATCCCTTCTGCTGAGAGAAATATCCAACATAGCATGGGCTGCATGGAAAGTTCCAACACTCCATCCTCTATTTGAAGATATTTGTGATAGTTTGGACTGAGGGGGCTTGATTTACAGACTTGTATACATTTTTTCTTTTTTCATGAGTGAAAAACTGCACTCTTGTGATTGAAAGTGTCACTGCTTGGTGTGAGTGCGTTCAACTTGTACAAATTTGTACGTCTGACTTATTAACTTGATGAGTCATATACTAAAACCTATTATCTGAGAACTGTGAGTCTGGATGTAAATTCTGGGAGGTGAGGATCTCATAAAACATTTGGAGGTGTTTATGGATTGGAGGAAAAGACAACTGTTTGCGCATAATCCTGTGTGCATTGTGGGATTGCATTGGGTAAGCAATGTGCTGTGTGGCTAATCAATGGTGAAATGAGTGGATGATGGGGAAAAGAGACAAAGAAGGCCATATTCCTGAAAATGTGTCCTTAGCTCGCATAAATTCTTCTCTGAATAATTTGAATTTTCTGACTTTTATCTAAACTTGTTTTAGTTGCGTGTCAACTTAGATCAGTATAGCTCTCTTCCTTTTTTTTTTTTTTTTTTTTTTTTTCTTTTGAAAGGGCATCTGTCCTGACCTGTTTTTGGTTTGAATTGGTGATGGTGCTCATTTCTTCTATTTTCATTGTCCTAAGCAAGTTGATGTGGTGGGAGCAATATCTGCTGTGGTTTCTGTCATAACAGAATGTGGTTAATTAAAGTGAGAGCAAACTGAAGAAAAAAAGACATCACTTCAGAATTCTTTTTAGTTACTCAATTTGCATAGCATTTCTTTCACATTTCTTCCTCCTTTTGGCAGGAGAATTTTGCTGCTCTAATGTATTTGATAAGGCAAAACTGCTGGCTGTATTGAAAATTTTAATGTAAAAACTTTTTGGGATTCCTTGCAAATATAGTAGTGACTTAGGAAAAAGTCTTTACTTTTTATATGAACAACTTAGTTTTGCTAGGTTATGGTACTTGTGAATGTAACGAAGAATTCACTGCAGAGTAGGGCAGTCACTTTTGTTCTCGGAATAGGTCATGTTTTTCTGTTGTGGAAGGATGTAGGTGGTTTTTTTTGTTGTTTTTTTTTTTTTGTTGTTGTTTTCTGTTTCCTTAAATCACCTAGTTTCTTGTCTGGAGTATTGTCTTTATCTGTTGGAGCTTTTAGCATTAGGTGTTGGTTCTTGCATGCGAAAGCAAACCTGGTGTAGAAATAAAACTGAGAAATTCTCATAGTTTAAACTGTATTTCAAAATATATATGCCTGAAGGATGTTTAAATAACAAAACCCAAACCATATTAAGCTTAAAAAGAGACAGAATGAAGTAGAATAAAGCAGCTGTAACTTAAAGTTGTCTTAATTATTTTCTTACAGTACCAAATACAACCAGTAGATGCCTGCAAACTCCATAATATAATTGTATCTGAACAGTTTTAGAAATACCATATAGTAAGGTTGCTTTTTCGTTGTGAAGGATCAGTAGTTGACACAGTACCTGCATCTTTTTTAACAGATATGAAATTGCTGTGCTTAAGTCTGCCTTCAAATAAATATAGTCATGATAAAAATGCATGTGCAGTACTGAGTAGATTCTGAATTACAGAGTAGTTCTTGGGTGTAACTAAAGTGACATCTCCTCTGTCTCGATATCTCTTAATAAATCACAGTTTTTGAAACAGCATTCATTGAAATATATTAGTGTTCAGAAGTGAAACAACACAAGACTATGAATTTGGTGAGAAGTGGTGGTATATTTAACTCAGTAAACAAAAAAAGCATCCTCCATGCTTAACATTCACACTGATTCCTTAAGTCCTTGTGTAAAGTCTGTTATAATAATTTATACTTCAGGAGGAAATTTATTGCAGTACGAATTCTTTACGGGGAAGCTACCTCTTGGAATATTACTGCATCTGAATCATAAATCTTAGCAGTGTATCTGAATTATCTTAGTCAGAAAACCAATTGATCAAAGCATGTTGGTGACAGGAGAAGCAGCGTTAACTCTGTAATCCTGGAATTGTTCAGATGTACTTGTGAAGTGTTGTGTATCTGCTTCAGCTTATTAGGTGATCTACTCGGAGAAAGTAGTAGTATTTCATTTTTTTCCTGTCTTGTTGTTGCTTAAATTCTGTTGTCCTGCTTCCTAGCTGGAAATTAGGAAGTTCTGGGAAAACTCACTGTGATGTCAAATGATATTTTTGAGGGACCATTCCACTTTCATCTGATCTGAGAGAATAGCACATACATGCTACAAGGTTATCATTACTAATGACAAGACAATGGATTTTTGCAGAATTGCCATCACTCTTCTCTTCCCTCCTGCCTCCCCCCTTCAACTGAATATTGAATGCTAATGGATACAATCCATGGTGGTTTTTTGTTTTTTTTTAGCTGGCTAACAATGAAGGGGAGAAGGAACTCAGAAATTCTCTGGAATACTCTACCTAGAGAAGGCATAAGTTTTTTTTCTTGCTTGATTCTATTTTACAATTGTGTGTGTATGGATGACATACTCAATTATTTGGAATAAAATTGTGAATTTAAGACTAAGACATTTTGTCATAGCAGTGTCATGAGATGTCTTCTGTAGTGATGTTTCATATATGCATTATACCTCATTATGGGATTTTCTTCGATATTACAAGACAGAATATGAACATGGACATGTAACGAAGTGGGGCTGTGTGACGATAGTGAAATGGTTTACTTAATTGATGCAGTTTTATTAATAATAAATGCTAAACTTGTAGGAGCGCAGCACAGTTTAGAATGTGAGCATCCTGAACATCACTGTGCATAATACTACCTGGGAGACATTTATTAACAACTATTAACTGCTTCTTTTGTGTTTTCATTATAGGAAGTGTTCTCAAAGGGAATAATACTACTTTCTGCTATAGCAACAGTTAGAGTTCATGGAGAGAATAAATTTGAAGTTGTTACATCCCATAGGACTTTTGTCTTCCGAGTGGATAAAGAAGGTATGTACAATACATGTATGTAATTCTAATGATTTTTTGAAAGCCATGTAGTCATTGCTGATAAATTAAATCATAATTAAATCATAATAAAATTATGAAGTATAATTTGTTGTATTGCAAAAGGTATTTCTCATTCCATCTATTTGGATTCATGAAGAAGAAAATTGATAACTATAACCTTTGTAGTAAGAAATAAAATACTTTGTAAAGCATCAAAAATAATAACACTTTTCCAGCTCTTCTGCTACCTCTCCTATTATTTCCGAAGATGAATTTTTCTGGACATTCATTAGATATCACTAGCAGCTTTTACAGTCTGTGCACTATCAGCCATCTGCTCTCAGTCACTACTTGATATAAAATTGATGAAGAGCAACAATGAAGTTGATGGCTTGGATGTGATGATGTGATAAGAGACAATGTGATTATTTTTTGTTTGTTTTTATTTACTGCCTTATACAGTATTTTCATCCATTTCATCGTTGGTAGAGAATACAAACAAAAAGAGGAAGTTAGTGCACCTTCTAGTCTAATGCTTTTTTACCCTAATGCTGTAATATATAAAATTAATGTCAGTGCATGTATGACTTATTTATGGAAACAATCAAAGAAACTGGAATACCTAGGAAACGAGACATGCAGTATGTATTTACAGCACTGTGTGCCAGACCCATTAGAGCTAGGGGTCTCTCAGCATTTCCTTTATCAAATCTTGTTTTTGTGGGTTACAGCTTGGTTGTATATATTTGCTGCAGGCTGCAACAGGAGTGCAGCATTGGTGAACAAATCCTTATCAGGTCTGTCTCAAATCAGTTCAGACATTTGTATGCTCTTAGCTAAGAAGTAGGTCTATTTTTATTACTTTTGCCTTTCTCTTCCAAAACAAATTTGGTCATTTTTATAAATTAGAACATAACTGTCTTAGCACTTTTTTTTTTTTTTTTTTTTTTTGTAGGGCCATAATTTGCTTTATGAGTTGTTATCTTTAAATACCGTAAAAAATTAACAACTTATATTGACTCAAAAAGTAAATTTAGAGCAGCCACTTTTTATTCATTAAATTGTATTTTCATTTAGTATGCAACTCTCTTTGGACCTGGTGATGTGTTCATAAAGCTGTTACTGTCACATTAAGGATATAAGTTGATATTGTACAAGTAATTTGATCCTTACTGTATCCAGTGGTGGGTGATGTACTCATAGTAAGTTATGTAAATAACCTTGCTTGCTTACTGGTATGTGCACAAACTGTCACTTTATGCTATTCTGTGAATTTGTGATTGGAAATTGTTCTGGGACTATTCCAAGAACACTTTTTAAAAAGATTTTGAAATGGGGACTCTATACATATTTCATCCTGTGGACCTTCTGTATCAACTTTCTTTAATTTCTGCTGAAGTATCAAAATACAGAATATTGCCATTGCCTTTGTTGACTTGTGTACCTTGATACCAAAGTCAGTCCATAGTCTGTAGAATGTTGCATTTGCTTTCTTGTCTTTTGGTTCTCTGATTATTTGTTTTGCAAACTGGAAATACAATATTCTTTTGAGTAGCAAGGGGGAAATTGTGTAACATTTTGGATAGTTTAGGGCATTTGGGGGGAAAAAATGAAATAGGTGGTAGTGCTAAATTAGAACATATCTGCTCAAATTCTGTGAGATTTTAATTCGGACGAGACATTATTTAAAAAGAAAAACAAAACAAACCTTTCAAATTAATTTTGTAAACATCTATACCAAAATAATCCAATGACCTTTTAAAATTACTTTCAGAGACTTTAGAATAGAACAGTTGTGTTAAAACAAAACCTGTACTTGCTAAGAGGAGCTCTAGAATTGCCTTCTCTGTGCTAGTCTGTCAGGTGCTGTCTTTCTCTTCTTCAAACTCTTCTGATGCTTAAATTCATTTGTTGCTTCTTGTTGCTCACATTACATTTATGAGGTGAGCACATTGTTTTTTTGATGGTCCTCTCTACAATGCTGGGCACTGATCATGTCAACTTTAGATGTGCCATGAATTACATGTACAGATATATATTACATCCTGTATGTTTTATGACTTGAATCTCTTAGAGCAAAGAACTGAAGTATTCATGATGTTTCCATCATGTAGGGCACGTCTAATTGATTCAATATATTCAGTTTTAATGTATATTGATCTTAGACTGGGAAAATGTCTGAACAGTGTGTGAGGCTGAGTGGAACTTCATTACTTCACCTACTTGTGATCTTACAAATGTGAAGCTAAACTAATACTGCATTCAAAACATATTCAAACATACGTTTTCTTGATTACTCAGTGCCCCTGACAATATCCAGCTTCACCACTACGCCGTAATGGAATAGTCTGTGAATTGCCAAATGTTGCATAAAAGCATGGTCCAACATGGCTTCTCTCTTCAGTGATGGATGATATTTAGGTTCCATACTATTTGCTTGCATTACTTCCCATAGTCCTTTTCTTGTTACCCGATGAATAATAAATGAAGAACATGTCACCTGTACTCCACCTCAGTTGTTAAGCTCTCTGAAATTAAGCATTTTAGAACTAGTAGTCATGATTTTTGAAAACTGTAATATTTTCATAACTTTCAATTATTTATTTATTTATTTTATGGAAGGTACCTGAATGGATATCCTTGCTAGCCTATCCTCTTTTATGTTTGTTTTTTTTGTTGTTTTGTTGGTTTTTGTTTTTTTTTTTTTCTACCTCTTTTTCAAGGTAGATGTTATCTCTTATGCTGTAGTTATACCATCAACCAGCAAGGCATAGTAGGAAGAACAAGAAAAGAAATATGGTAGAAAGTGGAGCTGCTGCTTAACATATAACCTCTATCTAATTTTCTTCCTTGTTTAGAAGAAAGGAATGACTGGGTTGATAAAATACTCAATGCCGTGAAATCTCAATCTGATAATAACCCTCAGTCTCGAATTTCTGTTGCTCCTGAGAAAAGTGGATATCTTGAACTGAAAGGATACAAAGCCAAAATCTTTATTCTTCTTCAAGGGAATACTGTGTGGATCTGCAAAAATGAGCAGGTAAATTTTTCATGTGAATTTTGTGAATGAATGCTCGAAAAGATGGTGTTAGAAAATGATGGTTCTTTGTGAATATAAATGCATATCCTTTTTTATGTAGCACTTCATTGCTGCAATTCTGAAAAGACTTCAAAAAACAAGAGATGTATCATTATACCTGTTGTACAATGAAAAAAAACCAAATATGTACTGAGGTGAAATGAAAAGCCTTGAGTGTCACAACATGTTAGTGGCGGGGGTAGGATTAATTCACTCTTAAAAGTGTGTATCATAAGTACTACTAAATCTTTCAGATTTGTGTACTTGCAAATTCTTATTTAAAATATGATTGCTCTCATGGTAACTAGTCCTTTTGTTGTTCACTTCCTCACCTACTGTGTCCTCTTCTATATGGAGAAAGTGTTCCAGAGCCATTCACTTTCAAGTTGAAAATTATGATTAATCTAGGATAATTTAACACTGTATTTTGTATCCCCTCCCCTAAAAATTTTCTCTTACACATGTGTTTTCAATTATTATTTTGTGTGTTTGCATGTGTATGTTGAATCTATTGCTTGAGGGGGCTGTTTGGTAAACTGTATCAGCTGTGCCCTTTAAGTATCTATGACTTCACATTTGTTTTAGCTAATCATGAAAGCACACCTTTAAACAGCCTTTTGACTAGATGTTTATTCCCTTCTACTACATGGATGCTCTGCACAGGTCAGGAAATGCAGTGCAGCAGATGGCAAACCAAAACGAAGACCTGGAACAGCATGAAGTTTATACATGCTGTCAGCTTGTCATTTCCTTCTTCTTGAATGAAATTTATGAACAATGGTGCAAAACTAGCACCTCTCCTAAGCCTGTTTATTTAAAACCAAACATGTCAAATGATCCTAAGAGGTTTCTTGTTAGATCCTCCATTTGAACAAATGTCTGTTTCTCTAAATGACTTCTGCCTTTTTGGAAATCAGAAAAAATATCTTCTGTCTTCAAGCTTTCATGCAATCTAGTTCTCCTGGTACCTCTTGTGTTTTTCAACTTTTAGATAAAACGTATTGTTTTCACTGCTGCATTAAAGAAATGCTCAGTAATGTAGTTCTAATCCAGTAGAGGGCTCTGATGTTTTACAAATCTTTGCCAGTCTCAAGCTTGTTCTTCAGCCATTAATTACCAAGCAAATACATCCAGGGATGTCCTTTAATTCTGCTCATATTGGAATTCACATCCTTACTAGAGAACTACTCCCAGAGAGACTTAGAAGGGTTTATTATAACTGCAGTGCTAAAAGACACCTATTTACACTTCTTACAATGTTGAAATGAGATCGGATCAAGCTGATTTGTTGATTTCTATTAAACTTGATAGAGGAGAGTCCACTGGTGCTTTAAAAGATTTTTCTTCATTGTTAAAAGTGGAGAAGATCCTAAGCCAAATGCCTAATCCTAACATAACCAACATGAACTTTGTGAAGTTCAGACTGAGATCAGAACATCATGTCTCAGGCCCATTTCTAGTTAAAAAGTGATGGGTTAGCCTGAGCTTCTGGCAGTGATATAGTGCTAGTAAGAAACCATCAATTTCTTTGACTCTCTATGTAGTGTGAATTTCTTAAACTTCCTCTCTGGAGCAGGTGTGAAAAATAGATCGTACAGAATCAATTTGTTCAACCTGCAACTTGCTGAAATTCCCATTTCTATTTCAAAATCATTCGTGCTTAAATAAAAACATGTCATCTGATCCTTCATGACAGCTCAAACATTGGCTTGAAATGTCAGGCTACTGCGATGGTGCCAGTGATAACCTCCCCTCTGTGACCATCAGAAGGGCTGTGACAGATGCTTTCCTGGTCTGCCAGAAAATACCCACTTCATTGGGGTGTATACAAGCTTCTCTGATAGAGCTGAAGCCAGGGAGGGCCTATATGTCACAGTATTTGCACTGGAGTTTGGCTTTGATAAAGATAACTAGAGATTTTTTTTTGATTCTGCCTTGCGTAATTTCAAAATAGATGCATTTACATGGGGTATTAGAGAAAACAGCAAAATAGAAAGACTGGGAAATAGTATGTATGGCTGCATGCCATGATTATTTACAACTTTTTTCCTCCATGCATGACTCCAAGTTAAAGCTTGAATAATGATGAGTGTTCTGCTGTGTATGAGAAGTAGTACCCGTTTCATATAAATAAATAAATAAATAAATAAAACCCAAAAACCCCCACAAAACTCTTATTTCATTTTGGCTGGAAATCTTATTGATTTCAGAGGGCTTTTGTTTTGTCAAAGATTGAAATGATTTGCTCAGTGGCAGATGGGAATGTTTATGCATGTTGAATGAACCAGTAAGATAGTACCTAATTTCCATTTCCTCTCTAATGTTAGTAGTGCATTTAAAGCAAACCTGGGCAACATCAAGCAATGTATTACAGGAGATGATCAATTAAACACATTCTGTAATGTAGAGAGCTGATAAAGGGGGGCACAGGTGGAAGGATAAATCAGCTGCTCAGTGTTTGTAATCTGAAGGAGAGGAGGTTAGGTTAAAGTCACTGGAGGGGATGTGTGCAAGTATTCATTGTGTTAGATTCTTCACTGTATCACTGTGATAATATTGTGAATATCAAATGAGTCGAGGGTGATGTCAGCAGCAGTATGAAATGAGAGAATTTGAAAGTAATTGCCTAAAGATTCTGAGAACTAATGAGGAGTCCTGAGCAGTAACTTGAGTGCCAGTTCAGTGGTTGCTACTTAAAGCTGAGGTGTTGTGGTGTTACTGTGTTGCAAAAGCCGCTGATCATTTTGGAAAGGAAGCTGGGGAAAAGGGTGAGGAATTAAAGCGAACAAAAGAAAGTGAGAGGGGCAGTCAGAAGAGTTGATGGATGATAAATGAAATGAGAATGAAGTGCTGGATGCCCACTGGAGTGGGGCAGTGAATGAAATATTGAATTACTGTGATTGAAAAACCACAAGAAAGAATCCATCCCTCTCCATGTGGAGAGCACACGTAGTTTTGGAGATGTTTGGTAATAAGCTATTGTTTGTAACAAGTACTGGTAAGTTCTGTGAAATTGCCTGCTTGATTGCTGGTGTAGACTATGTTCAAACGTGCTTTAATTATATGATCTTGTCAAGAATGTCTTAAATATGTGGAGGTAACAGAAGAGCTAATGAACCTTTGCCCTCGTTTGTCCTTGTAGAAGTTCTTCAGGCTTCACTCTTCAAAATGATCTGTAGCAAGATGTAAAAATACATAGTAAGAATCTAAGGAAATATGTTGGGGGAGAGAAGATTAAGGCGAAAACATGTTTTGATATCAAATATATACTGGCAACTTGAAGAGGAAGCAAATTATCTAGACTCTTTTAAATACAGTTGTTTGCATCAAGCTGTAGCAGGGATGATGAATTAAGATTGTGTTTCTAATTTTACAGCGGTTTCTTGGCATGCAGTTCACTCTAGTCTTCCACACTCAAAACCATGGCAAAGATCAATTGCTGTGCATGACATCAGGAACAACTAAGTGCAAAATAACTTGTATTCTGTAAGAAAGCTTAAAAGTTTCTGTTTTTGGCTTGTGTGCAATATGAAATGAATTTTAACAGGGAGTTCTGTTGATATGGGGGAGGGTTTCTGAGCTTAACTTCTTCAGATTTCAACTAATTGTAGACTTACTCAAAAAAAAAAAAAAAAACAAACAAACAAACAGCAAAGCATTTTAAATAATACACTAATAACATGATTGAATCAGACAAGAGTAATGTGACGGTGACTCATCTGTACAAGCAAGATCTGCATTTAACATTCAAAAATATTTTTATGGGATATTGCTCTAGGTTGTTAAAGATAAAATTAAAGAGAAGGCAGAATTATATCAAATACAAAATAAGTTAATGCTAAATACTTCTCTTTTTCTCTGTGTAGTTAAATTAAACCTTGCCTACATAAGTTTTTCTTCCTTGTTTGTTTTTATGCTGTTAAGATCTTACTAAGCTGTAAATACACCTAAAGGTATCGTGAAGTGCGATAGGAAGCCTAACGCTTCCATAGTGATCAAAAGTTTCATGATCAATTTGATTTGGGGTGGAGGGTAGGGATGGAGAAAGGGAAAAGACAAAGTTATCAGCTTTACAATTATGCTCAGTTGAGCTTTCTGGAATAGCAAATACGTATACAACCAGCTACCTTGATTGTGTAAAAGTTAGTAGTGAAGAAAATTAAGATTTGTTTGAATACTGTGAAGAAAAAGGATTTCGCTGTATGGCACAGCATATGTGTGAATAGCTGAAGAAGGTTTTAGATTTACTCATCGTAAGGTTACTATTAATGCATTCTGGGGGAAATTCCTATTTAATTGTAATCATACCAGTCAGTTTTCATGGCAGACATGCTTCATCCTTCATTTCAGATGTAAAACTATTTAATATAGCTGAAATGTTAGTGTTTTTGTAAAGCTGCAAAACTGTCATAAAAGTGAAGAGCAAAGTATTTCTGAGACAGTGTAGAAAACACATCCTCACTGAAACATTCATTCAACGACCTTAAATATAGGCACAAATATGCGTTATGTAATGTATATGAGTCATTTTCTAAACTAGTTAAAATGCCATTACTGCTATTGCAACTTTATGTAAGACATCTGTTATGGACTTGCTATTTTTGAAGTCTGTTACAACACAATTAACTAGATGCAGTTTACAAATCTCTACTCTTAAGTTATTTGGTGTGGCAGAACTCAGAAGAGTAGTGTCACAAAAGGATTATTTTTTGTATATATATCCCCTTAGGAGTGCTAAACTTTAATGTTTCAGATAGATGAGACTATTCATTTCCCCAGTGAGGAGCAGGATTTTTAAAGATTTGCCTAATCTGATGAGTATGATCAGATGAATGCTGACAGTCACATCATGCTGATCAAATTTTTATCCTTGGTAGCTATACTAAATAAAATGTATTAGCACCTACCAGCAAGAGGCCAAAGAGCGTGGCTGTAATTACCAACACTGTAATGTCTAGAAC